GGGCGAGGACGCAGCGCGGAAGAGACCGACTGTCGCTCGCCGTGTCTGCCAGAGTCTGGCAGAGATGGCCGCCTCTAGGTATATTGTATGTTGTGCCCCTCATTGAAGCCCCAGCGGGGGAGGGGGGAGCGAAGGGAAACAGGATGGAAGGAAGAAGTGGGAATGGATGAAGAAATCAGCAGAAAGGAGAAGACGAAGGAATACTGGATGAAGTGAGATGTGGTGCAGCCAGGACCGCTGACCAGCCGCCTCGGACCGACGGGTGATTGTTCAAAAGGAGTGGCGAAGTGCCAGGACACGAGTGGCGCGGCGTGAGCTGTCGCGAAGGTGCCGCGGACACGCCCGAAGGGAACTCGGGATGTTAGGTGAGACGTGTTGCAGCTAGCACCGCTGACCACAGCCGAACAGCTGACAGGAGAAATGAGCGCCGACCAGATGCGTCGACGAGTAGCTGGCAACGGAGAGATTTGGCAGCTAGGACAGCTGACAGGAGAAGAGCCCGTCGACCAGGGGCCTCGGCGGGCAGCCGGCGGCAGCGCGGGGACGGCTAGACCCCGACCCTTGGAACAGGGCGCTTGCGCGCGAGCCGAATCCAGCAAAACGCACGAGGAGCCCGAAAGGGAGACGAACCGAATCCCGCGAACCCGCAGAAGCCCCTTTCCCGAGTGCGCAGCCCCCTAAGAAAGGACGCCTCCCCCCTCCCCCCTCCCTCCCTCCTCCCCTCCCTCCCCCCCTCCCTCCCTCCCTCCCTCCCTCCCCCTCCTCCCCTTCCCTCCTCCCTCCCCCTTCCCCCCTCCCCCCTCCCCCTCCCTCCCCTCCCTTCCTCCCTGCCTCCTCCCTCCTCCTCCTCCGCCTCCTCCTCCTCCTCCTCCTCCTCCATTCGTTTTCCTTAGCTCGCAATCCCACAGCACGTTGCGCAGCATATTGTTGAATGCGATGCCCTCACTCACTCTGTGCTGTGTAGATTGCTGACCACCAACATGGAGGTGGCTACCCAGCGCAGGCGCTTCGCAGCCCAACGAGGTGGACGTGTTGCGCCGAGGCTGCGTGCTTTGTTTCCCATCGGCACCAGGCAGGCCCGTCTTCGAGAGGCGGGGCATTCCTGTGACAAGACGGGTGAAGTTCTAGTCTGTCAGATTTGTGTTCGCACGTTTCTGATGGGGGGTCCCTTGAGGCGGTTCCATCCTGGTCCGTGTGCTGGCCCGAAAGACAGGACCCCAGAGGCCTCTCTTGACCACCCGCCGTATTACAGGGCCCACGGTTCCCATCAACTGATGGTGACCCGAGGATTTTTGTTTGGTGTCCATTGCCGCGGCTATGGGGCCGTCAACTCAGTGAATCTGCGCAGGCAATGCCTTGCCCGCCCTTTCAGGACAGGAAGGGGGTGCTCAGTCGTTTGGCCAAGGGCTTGCTGCCCAAGACCAGTGTCTCGTTCCCTGTGGCCTGAGTGTTTGAGCGTGCCTTGGCTTGACCACGTCCCCGCGGCCCCCCGAAGCGAATCCTCCTCCTCCTCCTCCTCCTTCTCCTCCTCCTCCGCCTCCTCCTCATATTCTCTGGGAACGGGCAGAACAGCAGCAGTATCCTTTAGCAGTGCTGGCCATAGTCCTCAACCAATATTCCGGTAGACGTTTTCTTGGGTTTTCTGGGATTTGCATTATGCTCAATTTTCCGTACAAAAGGTATCGCAGCAAACTGCTCTTTTGCTACTTATTTGGTTCAGGTGTTTTCGTTGCCCCCCTTGCGATCATGGAGTGCGACGTATCCCGGTGTCGACCTGACGCTTTTCATCGATGATTTCCTCGGTATGTATTCCAACCGTCGCATGAGAACTTTAGTGAATATCCTTACCCATGCTGCAGCGAGCCTGTCGGAGCTGATGGTTTCTGCCATGAAGTGCAGCGTGGCCTTGCACAAATCGGCGATCGTTGCAAGCAGCATGAGGCTGAAGTCGCTCTTGACCGCCTCTTTTGCCAAATATGCAGGCCCCGGTACGCCCCCGAACCGGTCTGCAGCAACCAATCTTGGGATAGTTTTTTTCGCTGGCTGTCTTAGGTGCAAAGTGGGGCTACACTAACACTCAAATACCGTTTGGAGGCTCTGAAAAAGCGAAAGCGGAAATTGTACGTTTTGAAGAAGGCGGGGGTCAAGATGGAATCCATGTTCGTTTCTGGTCTACAGAGTTTTGGTTTCCACGGTTCGGAAGTAGTGGGAGTCGCGCACAAGAAGCTTATCACAGCACAGTGCGAGTACCTTAGTGTTGCCGGGTCTCCTTCTAGAAGCTGTTCGAAACCAGTATCCTTGATGCTTATGGACGACCCCATGTGGAGACAGGCGCTAGGTCCAGCGCTATCTTGGACGACGGTGGTATGGAAAGCAGCGACAGGGGAAAGGCGCGAGCATGCAGTTTCCCTACCAGAGTTAGCTGGTATGGCCAACCCCGTGCTCTCCAATTTACCCAGGACATGGGCGACGGTTCGTGGCCCCCTCGGTGCAGCCCACCTTTCCTTGGACGAATTGGGTGGAAGTTCGACGGGCCTTTCAAGTATGTATCTGCCCATGGTTTAGTTTACAATGTAACCGACTCGTCCCCGCATATGATTCAATGTCTCATGCAGAAACAGTGGCGTTGTCAAACATCTTCCCTGGCAGCAGACAAGCTCCTTTTACATGATGAGACCTTGGACCCGAGCCCAGCTATCAAGATACTGGGCGACAAGGCCCTGGGCACCCAGGACAGAAATATTCTTCGCTCGTATATTTCGCATACTTCCTGGTCTAGTTCAAGGCTGCATCTTCTTGGCTATGATGTTGATCCTGTTTGCCATTCATGTGGAGCCCAATCGGATAGTTTATATCATCGGTGCTGGGAGTGCAGTGGAACTGAAACAGCCAGGGAGAAGTGGTTCAGCAACGCGGACAGGGACGTCCTATTTCACCCAGACTATAAGCATCGCCTCCTGCTTGGCTTCAGGGTGTGTCCTTCTCCGCCCTTTGTCGCCCCGGCTGGACTCGGCATCGAAAGTTTTGAGTCTTGGACTCTTTCAGTAGAGGCCTACCAGATCGTCATGACAGGTGAGGTTTTCATTGATGGCAGCTGCTTCAAAGACGGAGCTAAACAGCATCATCGAGCAGGATGGGGAATCTCAAAGCTGTCGCCTGAAGGAGTTCTCTTGGGCAGGTTGTTCGGAAGAGTAGGGGACAAGCTCCCGCAAACCTCTCCGGCAGGGGAACACGTTGCGGCGCTCGCAGTGGTGTCATTGCTTCCAGGTGCCAGAATTACTTTCTCGGATTATTCTGAAGTTGCTGGAATGCCGGCTAAGCCTCGCCAGATAAACCTCCATAGGAAGAATTACTATTCAGGCTGCAAGCTCATCACACTCGGGCGGGCCCCACCAGGTTTCGATATCCCGAAGGTCAAGGCCCATGTAAACCCCGATGATTGTGAGCCTTCCTCGTCCGACTGGTATAAAGCCAGGGGGAATGAAGAAGCAGACACAGCAGCGAAACTAGGTGCGAAATTGCACAGTGAGCCCAGCAAAAACGAGGTGTATCTGTGGGAATCTCAAGGCGAAGTCCTTAAGAAGTTTCTTATGTTTATCCCTGAAGCATTGTCTCTCTTCCCCAAACCTCCCAAAGGGAAGTTGGAGCGAGTTCGCCCTGCTAAGGTTCAGGGGAGTGCAGGTTTCGTCATAGATGCACTGGGTCCTCATGCTCCTGAGCAGCTTCTACAGCGACTCAGGACGCAGGGGCCAGCTGCCTGCGCCGCAGGTCATGACCCTCCTCACCCTCCTCCGGCTGTGCTTCAACAGGAGGCCGTTGGAGACGGCCCGAACCACCATGTTTGGAGGTGGCGTCCAGAAGGTTTCTGGACTTGCTTGCGCTGTCAGCGCCGCAGTACCCGTTCCAGGCAAGACCCTGCAGAGCGGAGGCTTGAGGGCCGTTTGCTCCGCCATCCTCCACCTCCTGACTTAGGGTGCCAGGGCGCTTCACCAATTCTTCGCAGCCTGCTTCATAACCAGCGTGGTCACACCCTGTACCTTTCAGAGCACCCTACGGGTATCCTTATAATCTGTCGTGCTTGTGGTAGCTACTCTGAGGGCGCCAGAGTGCAAGGCTTAGATGGCCAATGCACTCCCCATAGGGAAAACAACAGGGCGAAGGCCAATTGGAGTCGCGCCAACAAAGGGAAATCCCCAAACTATAGACGGGGTAACGCGGTCATCTTAGGTGACCTGCTTCCCTTTTCTACAGTGTTCGACCTCAGACAAGAGCTAGAAGACGTTTGATGTATTAACTTCGGCTTTGTATTTGGGTAATTCCAGTGGTGCTCTTTTGTTTGTCCAGTTATTCACTTATGACTTACACATATGTTCCTTCTCCCTCAGCGTATTTGGCGCCAGGCAGGTGCAGAGGAGGCGGCCGACTGTGTGGCGGTATCCTTGTTTTTCACGTGTGGTTCTACAGCTGTTGTGGACTCATCTGCAACAATAGAAGGGAATACCACAGTGCCCAGTCGAAGAACTGGTCAGCCCCTGATAACTCTGAGAAGCAGGGTCGCCTCGTCCTCTTCCTTCCCTCCCTTCCTGCCCTTTCTTCATCCTTTCTCCTCCTCCTGGGTTGGGTTCGGTGGAGCCGCTTTTGCATCGGCAACGCGTTGGGCATGGCCCGAAGGTCGGCTGCTGGCTGATTCAGCTCGCCTGACTTAGTTCACCCCGAAGCGAATGTCAAAAAAATGTCCTCCTCCTCCTCCTGCTCCTCCTCCTCCTCCTCCTCATCCTCCTCCTCCCTCCTCCTCCTCCTCCTCCTCCTCCTCCTCCTCCTCCTCCTCCTCCTCCTCCTCCTCCTCCTCCTCCTCCTCCTCCTCCTCCTCCTCCTCCTCCTCCCCTCCTCCTCCTCCTCCTCCCCCCCCCCCTCGCCCCTTGTCCCTCCTCCCTCCCCCCTCCCCCCGCCTCCCTCCCTGCTGACGCTCTCCGAGCAGCCGGGGCCGCCGTCCTCCGCAGGCGGCCTCGGCGACGTGATGGCCGTCGACGGCGTGGGCCGCCTGCTGGGCCGGCGGGGCCGGCCGGCGCGGGCGCAGCAGGCGCCGCGGCCCGACGACGACGACGACGACGACGACGACGACGACGACGACGACGACGACGACGACGACGACGACGGCCACGACGACGACGACGACGACGACGACGACGACGACGACGACGACGACGACGACGACGACGACGAGGCCACCACGGCGGCGACGATGGCGACGGTGGCCTCGTCCGCCCGCCTCCTCCTCCGCGCGCATCCCGCCCCCCCCCTCTCCTCATGCTTCCTCGCGTCGTGAGAAGAAGTCACGACGGGCGGTTTTTCGTTACTTTCGGCCTCTGGGGGCCCCTACCAGGCTCTGGGAGCGTCCAAGGGTCGAAGTCGTGAAAATCGCGACGTCGGATGTTTGGGAACCCTCGTCGACCACACTGCCGACTGTCAGGTCAGAAGCCAGAACATGGACAGCATCAGTGGCGGGCTGCTTGTCGACCCGAAGATTTTTCGAGGGTCGGGGACGACGTCGGGGTGGTGTGGTATCCAAGATTCCATGTTTTCGGGGGAGAAAAAACCATGTCTACACCAAGGTTCCGCCAGGATCCGCTTCCGTGCGCAAGTTCCAGGGCGGGGCCAGAGGAAACGTCGGTGTATATATATATATATATATATACATATATATATAGAGAGAGAGAGAGAGAGAGAGCTGGGTTCCCTACAGTCAACGCGCGTAGTAAGGACGCGTGCCTTCATCTAGGGTACCCTTGAGTCCTTGCCTCTGCGGCCCGTCCTTCGCCGTTTTCACTGGCCGCCCCCCGCCCCAAAAATCCAACTTCGGCCTCCAAGGGTCTTGCGTCCTTGCCACCCGTCCTTAAAGAACGTTTTGACTGTATCAGGGCTCTGCGGGTCCTCGAAGGCCGACAGGTCGTCGAAGGTCTTCGCAGGGGACGTGCAGTCGGCGCCGGCGACGGCGCGGCGAGGACCCTCGAGGACCCGAAGACCGACGGCTGCACAGCCCTGACAGTCGGCAGTGCGGTCGACGAGGGCTGGCTTGGCTGGCTGGGGGCTCACGTGACCCCTGAGGTCTTGCAATAGTTTCACGACGGGCGTTGTCGCCCAGTTTCGAGGCCAGGGACCCTCTCAGATCGATCCTGCTCGAACGAGCCTCCAGTCGGGCCCAGAGATCTTGGCGTTGCGGCGTTTTCTCCACAGGCGTTGTCGCCCGGTTTCGAGGCTTGGGGCCCTCTCAGATCGATCTTGCTCGAAGAATGAGGCTGGGAAAGTGGGTCCGGGGCTCCGGTCGTGATTTTTGTGACGTCGCATTGTTTTTGCAGCGTCGAATGTCATGGACGGGGTTCGGCGCCACCGAGGGTCAGCCGGTCCCCTCTCGCTGGCCCGGTTTGGGGAGCCACGTGGGGCTGGTTCCCCCTAATTCCTGCCTTCCGCTGACTGGGATGTGGGAGCTACGAAGTGGCTGGCTGGGCTTCGCGACAGGTCTGTCTCTGGTCGACCAGGGCTTGTGGTGACCCAGGTTGGAGTGCGTCCCCGACCAGACGGTACGGTGGGGGCGTTCGGGACGGACTGTGCCAAGGAGGCTTCAAAACTCTGGAGATGGAGCTGGCTGGCGGTCTGAGGTGGCTGCAGCACTGGTTCCAGCGAGCAGGGAGAGGTTCGAGGTGCTGGATTCGACTGGGTTGCTCTTTGTTTTTCTTGTTTGGGTTCGGGCCGTTTTCGGGCCCCAGGGCCGTCCAAACGGATCCGAGGTCAGCTGGACTCCGGGAGGGCGGGGACAGATTTTGAGCGGATTCGCCTTTAGCCCCCCCCGCTTGGCCGCCTATCTCGGGACCCATCCAGTTCAGGCCCCCCGGCCGCCTCAAAGATAGGGGGCGTCCGGTAAGGGACGGGCCCAGGAGGCTTCAGGCCTTGGAGGATTCCTGCTCTGATAGGGGCTGCGGCGATATCCATGGCCAGGCCTCAACTGGTGCTCCACCAGCTTTCAGGCACTGGATACCAGGTGCAAGGGTTCCTGATCCAATGCCTTCACCGTACGGAAAGAGTGGGCACGAAGACTAACCTAACACAGGCTCCTGCCCACTTTGAGCTGGACTCGCTGTCGGCGCCGCCGCAGACGTGGTCCTCTTGAGACAGACAGGCGGCGGAACGACAGCGGCCGCTGCTGGTGTGGGGCAACAATTTGCTGCTGGGCATCGTGCCACTTTCATCCGTACAGTGGGCGGCTTGAATCGGGAACACTTGCTTTTCGGAGGGGGCCCGGTCGTTCCTTAGCTTTGCGTGCGTCCCGCTGCCTTTTTGGCGGCGAGCCCCCCTCGGTGTTCCTTCGGACTTCGTAGACTTGCTCGGACAAAAGAAGGGGCTTCGCTCCTTACAGTCAGGGCGCTGAAGAAGGAACCCTTCTCGTTGGGGAGGGGCTCGGTGATCCTTGATTGTTTTTGCAGGTTGGCTTGGGTTTTCCTGAGGTTTTCGAGGGGAAATCGAAGCTTAACTTTTGGGATCAAGGGGCCTCGTTTCTTATTTGAGGTTCCTTAGGTCAACGCCCCGACTGTACGGATCCTCCCGCAGGCCAGGCCGCTGACTGTGCCCCACCGCGGGCGCGCCAGACGAGCCTCGACGCTCGGCGCTCCTCGAGCGCGGCCTCCCTGGGCGTGTGCCGCCCTCCCGAGGCTCGAGTTCTGTCGGGCGTGTCCCCCTACAGGGGGATTTTCGACGAAGAATTTAAAAAATACCCCCAAAAATACCCCCCAAAAGGAAAACAAAACATTCAAACAATAGCCCCCAGACTATTTCTGTACCACTTTTTGATTATTTGTGTTTTTTCTTTTTTTAATATAAAATATCGTCGAAAATCCCCCCCCGTAGGGGGACAGGCCCAACTTACGGCTCGAGGCGTTCTCTGGCCCTCTCGTCGGCTCCAGGCGGCGTTCCAGAGCCTCGGGCCTCGGGGTGCCCTCCAGCGGCTGCGCCTCGCCGAGAGCGCCCCGGACGGGCGCCCGGCTCGTCCCCAGCGGCGGCCGGAGGCCCGACGCGAACACCAATCAGGAGAGGAAAAAAACACACAGACACAATTAATCGGCGATTCCAAGACAGCTCCATCCGCATCCATTGTGGTTCAAGCCTGTGTGGCACAAGGAAGTTTGGCTCAAGCAATCTGGGTCTGGCCTCCGCCATTTGGACGTCCTGGTGAGGGGCAAGCTTGTAATTGTCAGACGATATGTTCATGGCCACGCCCCTCAGTCTGGGTGCCATCTTGCTGAATGCGCCCCTCTGTGCTTCTGTTAGGGGGCGGGCGCCCTCCGCTGGGCATCCAAGCAGCTGCTCTCGTGGCACGTGCGCGTGGGGGTGTATGTCTTTCAGTCACGTACAAGACTTCACATGATCGTTTGAGGTGGCGGTGCGCACAGGGACACCACTGGCGCGCTTCCCTGCACAACGTTAAAGACACTGCTTCCAAGACAGGCTCTTGGTGCCCGCAGTGTGCATGCGCACACAGGACGTTGCAACGCCAGCTCGCTCGTCTCGAAATGGCTAAAGAGAAGGCGTCGGCGCAGGGTGGGACGTGCCTGAGTTTGACATATGTAAACCAACATTTGTCTTTAGCATGGAGGTGCAGTCGGGGGCATCATTGGCAGATGCCGCTGAGGCGTATTATGGAGGGTGCATGGTGCCCGATGTGCTATAGCGAGAAGAAGTTAGAGATCGCCGCCCGTATAGCGAAGACCCGGGGTGGATTATGTCTGTCCACCAACTACATGGGCTCCAAGATCCCGTTGCGTTGGCGATGCGCTAACGGACACGAGTGGTGCGCGCTATTCGCTTCTGTCGTGGGGAGAGGGAGTTGGTGCAAAGAGTGTTACTGGAAGGGTCTAAGGCTTGGCATCGATGCTGCTGTTGCGATAGCTCGACGGCGTGGTGGACAGTGTCTGTCTACAACTTTTGCGAACGCGAAAAGCGCTCTTCACTGGAGATGCGCGCGTGGGCACGAATGGCACACTGCTCTGAATCACATCAAGTATTCTGAATCTTGGTGCCCGCAGTGTGCTTCGGGCAAGACCGAACAAATAGTTCGCAACATCTTCGAGCGCATATTTCACGGCGAGCGTTTTCCTAATTGCCGGCCGCGGTTCTTGGTTGGTCGATTTCGGCGCGCGCTGGAGTTGGACGGCTATTGCGAGTCATTGAATCTAGCTTTTGAGTACAACGGTGAGCAGCACTACTCTCACGATTCATTCTTCAATCGGAAGAATGGCGAAGCTGGCCAGGACACATTCCGCAATCAGTTGATGCGCGACGAGTTGAAGGCCTCTCTCTGTGCAGCTGTGGGGGTAAAGCTCGTTGTTGTGCCATACTGGGTAAACGACAGATGGAGTTTTATCCGCGTATCCTTGTTTCAATGGTTTTGCGTGGCAGAGATTTTCCCCTCTGCGCTTCAATCATAGTCGCGAGGTCGCTTCAAAGCGTTGCCATGTCCATCGCTACCACGTGTCTCTCCTGCAGTACCGGGGGCAGCGCGCGGTGCTCGGCTATCGTGGCAAAGCCAGGGGGGCGGAGCTCGCCGGGAGGGCCCGCCGGGAAGGCCTGCGCCTCCCACACGGCCCAAGCGAGTCCAAGAGGCCTCCAAGTTCGCCGAAGGTGCCTCCACTACGGCCGACGACGGCCTCAAGGCGTTCAAGGTGGTGCCCAGACGGCTTCAGAGGGCCCCAGGACAGCCCGCGACGGCCTCCCTCCGGACGGCCGCAAAACCTTTCAGAAGGCTCCCGGAGTGCTCCCAGCGGGGCCTCCCGGTGCAGTCGAGGGCTTTTTTGTTGTAAGGTGTTGTTTCAAACATGTTCAGCATACAGTGGAGGCCCATGCCAAGAAACACCCTGATTGCCTCCAGGGTGCCGTGAGTTTCTTTTGTTTCGATGGTTTTTCTATGGAAAGCGTGACGCTCCCGCAGCAAAATCAATGGACGTCCTGGGGTCTCAGGGTTGGGTTTCTTGTGGAAGATTTCTTGTAGACCGGCCTTCACTGTACACGACTTTTGGGCCCTTGCAGCATTCACGACGGCCCAGGCAGGCCCAAGGGGCCTCCAACGAGGATCCCAAGGCGGCTCCAGAGAGCCCCTCGACGGCCCAAGAGAGCCCCAACACGGCCCAAGAGGCGCCCACGACTCGACGAAGATAAGACGGCATAAACACAAAGTTTTGGCGCTCCGCGCAGACCTCCAAAAGTTTATGCTTATGCGGTGTTTTGTTCCTCTAGCGACCCAAGATGGCCCAACGATGGCCCAGTAGAGCCGCAGGTGCATGCCCAAGACGGCCCCAAGAGCGCTCCCAGAGAGTCCTAGGATGCCCCCCAACGGATGCTACAGCGCACCCCCCCTGTTGTAGCATCCCTCGGGTGCTTTCTGAGGGCCCTCTTAGAGACGTGTTCGGGCCCTCTAGAGCCCCTCTTGGGGCGACTTTCGAGGTCCTCCGAGTGCTCTCAGAACCTCCTGCAAGGCTGCAAGACGACCCAAGAGAGCTGCAAGACAGCTCAGGGAAAGCCCCAAGACGGCCCAAGAGGCGCCCAAGACGACCCAAGATGGCCCAGAGGTGGCTCCGCCGCGTTCCCCTGCCAGGGTACCTGCGGATTTGCTCCACGGGTGCACACTACAGCCTCGGAAAGGTTTTTTCCGAGCGCTGCCGCACGCCCATGCCGATTCACAGCGTGTTGGAGGTGTCCACGCCATTGCCGCCCGTTCTTTTTTGTAGCGCAGTGATGGCACACGTGGATCACAATGGGTCTTTATGACACCGTGCCATTACTGCGGTATGTACACGCCCACCACGACGTGTGTTCAGCATCCGTTATGTATCGAAGACAACGTGACACATCCCACTGTTTATTGAGACCGCATGCCGCCCATAACAGGTGTTACTTAACCGTGCGCACCTTCGCGAAATTTTCGCTTCGCCCCGACCAAACCGGGCGCAAGTTGTGAGGCCGTCTCAGGCGAAATTGAGCCCAACATCAAACGGGAGCCCTTGTCGCCGTGTCCGGGCCTCCACCAACTTGCCTGAATTACGGGACAGTCTAGAGCGAGAGCGCCGTTCCTGAGTTCGGGGGCCTTGTTGGCCAGGGGCTCTCGGAGTAAATCGTGAGGAGATATCGAGTATGAGCCCTTGTCGTCGTGGCTGGGCCTCCGCCGACTTAATTTAATTTCGAGGAAGTCTCGAGCTAGAGCGCCGTTCCTGAGTTCGGGGGCCTCTCTGGACAGGGTGTCTCGGGGTAAATTGTGAGGAAATATCGAGCGGGATCCGTTTTTGTCGTAGCTGGGCCTGCAATGGCCCACATATAGGCTCAAGCCAACGCTCGAGCGGGAGCCTCGTTTTCAGAGAAAGTGTAGCCAGGGTCGAGGCGAGAGCGCGCGGAACCGTTTCCGGAGATCAGCAATACTGATTCGTGAGAATGAGTATTCAACAGTGACACCACCAACAACACCACCACCAACAACAACAACGACCAACGCCAACAAACGAACGAACGAATGAACGAACGAATGAAACCACAAACAAACACAACAACAGCAGCAGCAACAACAACACCACCACCAGCAACAACAACACCACCACCACCAACAACAACCATCCGCATCTCGGAATCCCACTTCAGCCACGCACGCATGGACAGTAAATGACCCTTCGGCCCCCTCACTCTGATGTTTCTGCCGGCATGTGTCCTTTCAGTCCTACTTCCCCCGTGAGCTACCCGAGCCCCACAAACCCTTCCGAGCATCCGACTCATTCCCCCCAAGGCCCGTTCTAGGGGGACACATGCGAGCCATACCCCTACCCCCCACGATTTCTGAGGGGGAGGGTGGGGTTCACTCCGTTCGGGAGCTCCCGAGCGAAGTGACCCCCACCCTCCCCCTCAGAAATCGTGGGGGGTAGGGGTAGGGTTCGCATGTGCTCCCCCACGTGTCGATACGATCAATGCCGTTCGATATCGATGTCGTCGGGCCCGATTCGGCTCCGCTGTTCTGTTCCGACGGCTCGGTGTGGCCCGATGGTTGCGAGGCCCTGGCGCAGCCGATCCTATCCGATTGCAGGTCCGTGCCGACGCAGGCAGATCCGACGGACGTTCCTCTCCTCCTCCTCCTCCTCCTCCTCCTCCTCCTCCTCCTCCTCCTCCTCCTCCTTCCCTTCTCATCCCTCCCCCCTCCCCCCTCCCTCCCCTCCCCCTCCTCCACCGCGTCCTCCTCCGCCTCCTCCTCCTCCTTCTTTTTTTCCTTCCTTCCTTCTTTCCTTTCTTCCTTCCTTCCTTCCTTCCTTCCCTTCCTCCTCCTTCCCTTTCTTCCTTCCTTCCTTCCTTTCCTTCCTCCTCCTCGTCCTCCTCCTCCTCGTCCTCCTCTCCTCCTCCTCCTCCTCCTCCTCCTCCTCCTCCTCCTCCCCTCCTCCTCCCCTCCTCCTCCTCCTCTTCTCCTCCTCCTCCTCCTCCTCCTCCTCCTCCTCCTCCTCCTCCTCCTCCTGCTCCTCTTCCTCGTCCTCGTCCTCCTCCTCCTCCTCTCCTTCCTCCTTCCCGAAGGCGGGCGCCCTCGGCGCCAACGCGTCGGACCCGTACAACCTCAGCTTTACCATCAAGAGACGAGGGGGGGAGGGGGGCAGCAGGAGGCATGGAGGAGGAGGAGGAGGAGGAGGAGGAGGAGGAGGAGGAGGAGGAGGAGGAGGAGGAGGAGGAGGAGGAGGAGGAGGAGGAGGAGGAGGAGGAGAGAGGAGGAGGAGGAGGAGGAGGAGGAGGAGGAGGAGGGGGGAGGAGGAGGAGGAGAGGGGGGTCTGGACCTCCCACGTCTCGAGAAGCGAGGCTCGAGGTATTTCAGACGACGTTGTCGCCTTGGGTTATCGGCGGTCCTCGGGTTCTCGTCGGTTTTTCGTCGGGTCTCGGCGGTTTTGCAGCCTCGGGGTGCCTTCCAGCGGCTGCGCCTCGCCGAGAGCGTTCCGGGGGGCGCCCAGGTTGTCCCGAATGGCCGCCTTTGGCCTGAAAGCCAGAGCGGCCGAGCCCTCAGCTCCAACGTGTGGTGAAGCTCATGGCGGAGCTTGTGGTCAGTTTTCGGCCCCTTGGGGCCCTCGATGGGACCTTGGCACCGTCAAGCACAGGATGAAGAGCTGGCCCTGGGGGAAAGGTCCAGGCCTCGGGGTACCATATGGAGAATCTTAAGAAATCGTGTGTCTGGGGGGTGGTGGTGGACGGGGGACTGCCAGTTGAACTATCCAGCTGCTTCCGACGATGCCGCCACCGTGCTAGCGCAGCACTCTGGGGCCTGTCTTGGTTCGTGTCCCCACTCTTGGGCCCTTCTTGGTGCCATCTTGGGGCCCTCTTCGGCAGTCTTGGGCGCCTCCTGGGCTGTCTTGGAGCCCTCTTGGGCCGTCTAGGAGCTCTCTTAGGGGGTCTCTTGAACAATCTTTGGGGGGCCTCTTGGGCCGTCTTGGAGCGTCGGAAGCCCGAGAAAGGAGACAACCCAAACGACATTGAAACGCTAGGGGACATCTGTGTGTTTTGCATCTCTGGGCCCTCTTGGGAACCTCTGGGGCGCTTCTTGTGGCCTTCTGGGGGTCTCCTGAGCCCTCTTGGGCCGGAAGGCTCGACTGGTCGGTTCGTGTTCGCCGTCTTGGGCCCTTCTTGGAGCCGTCTTGGGGCCATCTTGGGCATTCTTGGGCGCTTCTCGGGCCGTTTCGGAGCCCTCTTGGGCCGTCCTGGGGCCCTCTTGGGGGCCTCTTGGGCCGTCTTGGAGGCTTCGTGGGCCTTCACGGAGGCCTCTTGGCCCATGTGGGCGGCCTGGGTGGCCTGCCTTGGCCGTCGGAGAAGCCGTCTTGGGTGTCTCCGAAGCCCTGGAGAGCGCCAGGGACGTGTCTCGACGCCGAGAGAGCCTCGGAACGGAGGAGGAGAAGGAGGAGGAGGAGGGGGAGGAGGAGGAGGAGGAAGAGGAGGAGGAGGAGGAGGAGGAGGAGGAGGAGGAGGAGGAGGAGGAGGAGGGGGGGGCGATGCGCGCGCGCTGGTGTGCGACCCGGGGGGTGGGGCTGTCCCGTTCGAAGATTGCAAGAACCCTGTCAGACAGCACTTGGCATTCGACCACTCCTCAACGTGCCTGGATGCACGGTCGGTGGCGGATCAAAGTATGGGAGTCTAGGCTTCCCTGATGGGGTCGGGGCAGATGGGGCCAAAGGATCTCGCCGCATCGCCGATGCGTCGCCGATGCATCGAGCCATGCGGTTCGATGTGGAGCCCGATTTTCTCCACGCCGACCCCATTTGTCGAAGATCACTTGGATCCGCGCTCGGTCCCCCCAGCGGCGCCTCCGGCGCCGCCCCTGGCGCGCTCCGCGCGCCAGGGAGGATACGGGGGCCCAAAGGTATACACCACCACCTCCCTCATCCCTCATCCCCTCCCTCTCCCAGGAAAGAAGAGAGGAAGATGGGGGCGGAGGAGGGAGGAGGAATCGACGTGGTGGTGGTGGTGGTGGTGATGGTGGTGGTGGTGGTGGTGGTGGTGGTGGTGGTGGTGGTGGTGTATATTATCAGGGCCCGCATCGATGATGGTCCCGCACAGATCCAAGAAATCCGCGCGGAGCGCCAAAAGTTTACTGGGAAGGCCTAGCGGCCGGTGCCGACGACCCTGAAGGGGGACGACGGCGGCGGCGGCGGCAGTGGCGACGACGACGACGCTGATGCTCTGGAGCCTTTTCTGGGGCTCTCTTGGGAGCCTCTTGGGCAATGTTGGGGCTTGAGCTGGGGCCGCGGCTGGGGCCAGGGCCAGGGCTGGGGCCGGGAAGGGATCAAAGGGAAGGGTTTTCTATTCGATTCCATTCCGATGTTGTTCCATTTTGCTTTGGACGGCGCGTATGAGGAAGAGGGCCTAGGCAAACGGAACAGAGGAGGACGGAGACGACGACTCCCCAACGGAAAAGCCCGACTCGAACGCAAAAGCCCCTCACACGCGTCGACAGGGTCGGCGGATTCAGTGAGGGCCCAGCGGGGCCATGTCCCGCCCCTCTCACCAAGAGGAGGCGCAGAGGCGACGCAAGCAGCCATGGGTACGAGATCAATGGGTCTACGTACTTGTTGAGTTGATTATTATGTGGATTTTGCATTTGATGTTGCATCATTTTCGCTACTCTGCACAGTGCCTTGTTGGTTGTACTCATGCGTTGCCGGCCAAAAAAAAGAGCCCTGGTTCGACTCCCCCCCATGGACGGGGAGAGCGCCCCCCGGTTCGACCTCCCCTCTTGCAATTCTGGGGGGGGCCCGCCCCCAGTTCGAACCCCCCCCCACTTCTGGACAGGGGGGTGGGGAGGCCGGTTCGTTTGCCCCCTCCCTTCTGCAACCCAGGAGGCCGGTTCGAACCGCCCCTCTTGGAGCCCCCCCCCCCCAAGGTTTGGGAGTCCGGTGTCCAGCGGGGCTCCCGCCGCGAGCGTCTCGCCACCCTGAAGTGGAGCCCCCGATGGGGTTCCACGCGTTGCCAGGGTTGGCGGCCAGCGCCCTCTGCAGGGTCGATGCGCCCGTGCACGCGTGCGGGGAGCTCCTTTCTACGCCGGGGGGCCCCGGCGGGCCAGGCCTCCTGCGCCTCCATTCCTCCTCCTCTTCCTCCTCCTCCTCCTCGTCCTCCATTCCTCCATTCCTCCATTCCTCCATTCCTCCTTCTCCTCCTCCTCCATTCCTTCTCCTCCTCCATTCCTTCTCCTCCTCCTCTTCCTCCTCCTCCTCCTCTTCCTCCTCCCTCCATTCCTCCTCCTCCTCCTTCTCCTCCTCCTCCTTTCCTTCTCCATCTAAATAATGTCTCGCTGTCGCACCTCGATGCCAGTTTTTAGGGCGGGCCGGGCGTTTCGCCTGAGAATTCCTCACCATGTATGACCCTGCAGCTGACAAATTGGCAACAGCTTCACAGACGGAGGGCGGGTGGTTTTCAAAATGTGGCTCTCGCATTAGCGCCGCGTACATCCGTTTCAAGTAAAGATTTACAGGGTGTGAAGGCGGGCAGTTTTCAAAATAGTGTTCTCGCCCTAGCGCGGCGCACATTCGTTTCGAACATTGGCAAGCGCTTCACGGATTGAGTGCGGGTGGTTTTCGAAATGTGGTTCTCGCCTTAGCGCCGCGCACATTCGTTCTAAGAATTTGCAAGAGCTTCACGGGTTGAGGGCGGGTGGTTTTCAAAATGTAGTTCTCGCCTTAGCGCCGCGCACATTCGTTCTAAGAATTTGCAAGAGCTTCACGGATTGAGGGCGGGTCGTTTTCAAAATGTTGTTTTCGCCTAAGCGCCGCGCACATTCGCTTTAAATATTTGCAAGGGCTTCACGTATTGAGGGCGGTTCCTTTTCAAATTGTGGTCTCGCCTAAGCGCCGCGCGCATTCGCTTCAAACAATTACAAGAGCTTCACGGATTGAGGGCGGGTCTTTTTCAAATTGTGGTTCTCGTCTTAGCGCCGCGAACATTTGTTTAAACAATTCACAGGAGTTTCATGGATTCCCATGACCAACGTACCAGAAATATTGTTGTGGAATTCGGAAGGATTCAGAGTCAGAGGGGGATCAACAGTTATGTTGATTCGCGGTGTTGAAGTCCCAGACATGACGTGCTGGCACGATTCCAGATCGTCAAAGTGCAGCAGTCAGGCTAATCCGTGGCGTGGAAATCCCGAGACTGATGCTGCGGCATGCTTCAAGGTCTTCAAGCGGTTGTCTTCCAATGAGGCCGTTCCCCCAATGGAAATGAACCGTTCTAGGGGCCTGTGAAGAGGGAGCTTGGAGGGAGGGTTAATTCCAACATCGTTGATGATTCTTGGGGGGTTTGCACTGGCCCTCCTCCTCCTCCTCCTCCTCCTCCTCCTCCATTCCTTCTCCTCCGTCCTCCTCCTCCTCCTCCTCCTCCTCCTCCTGCGAGGCCTAGCCGCCTAGCCAAGGCCCTGAATGAAATCCAGCTTGAGGTAAATTCGCTTCAAGTTTATGGAACTCTCCTCCAGCGAGCCCATAAGCGACTAGCAGCTATTGCGAGTGAAGTCAACTCGTTGCCAAGGGTCAAGCACCAGCGCCTAGGTCTCAGGAAGAGGCCCGCGAAGATAACCACGCTTCGGAAGGAGCTCGGGCGTGCGTCGGGCCACTGCATGATGCAGAATCCCAAGGACAAACAGCGCTGGTTGTGTTCTCAGTGTAGATTAGGACCCACGAGAGTCTCAGTGGAAAGATGGTTGCGAGAGAACCCCTGCCGTGGCAGGTTTTTTGTTTCAAAATATACAAAGAGCTCCGCATTCCGCCACCTTCGCACCCCTCCTTACGGGTTGGAGGTAAGCATGTGCACCCGTCTCAGTCGCTTCTTGTGATGAATGGTCAGTTGTGGTGCTCGAAGAGTGCGCGGCTGGGTAGCGTCACCAGCACAAGAGGTGGGAAGCTACACCAACTACCAGCCCTGTGACCAGGTGGTGTGGGCACCGACAGTGGGAAGGAAGTGTTGCGGCTGCTGGCGAATTTCCAGCCCCCGAATGCCTCAGCCAGATTGTGGCCTTCGGGGGACCCCATCAGACCCCTCCAAGCCCGAAGAGCCAGGCGGGCCATCCCAGCTAAGTGATTTGGTGGGTCCTCGGGTCGCGGCGCGT